CAACTGCACTGTAAAAAAAAAAAAAGTATTTATTATTATTAATAATAATAATAATAATATAATTAATATACTATACTAATATTCCTGATTGTCCTAATTTCTTTGCTTTTAAACGTTAAATTATATGTATTTTATTCTGGTGTAAAATCGCAGAGAGACCTTATGACAAAAAGTGGTTATAGGCCATTCGAGGGTTTAAATTCAAGTCTGAAGCTTGTATTTTTGTTCAGTCATTTACATTAATTCTTTTTTAAAGTATATATTATTTGAATTTAACAGGTGAAAAAAAAATCCAGTTATTGCAGAAAAGTCCTTTTAAGAACTTTTAGGAATTAAAGTTTCCTGTTATTCTTCCTCAATATTTTGGCACTCAGTTTCCCATTATTAACTCTTACTTTTGAAGAGTGGCTGTTGAAGCAGGGGCATCTGGGTAGGGACGGAGTGTTTTTCAAGCACTGAGTCAGAAGGTTCCTGGTTCTTGAGTTTCAGTGGTTGCGTTGAAGGTTCCACAGATCTGGATGTTGTATCCATATCATCCCGAGGGGATGCTGTCATCACCGGACGCCCTGTGACACTTCCTGTGCCGCTTCCTCTCAGAGCTTTATATATCAGAGCAGTCCAAATGTCAGCTGACAATACAGACTCCCTAGATTTGGCACCATTATCCACCAATTCTGGTATGACAGGAATGCGCAATGATTCTAGTTTGGAACGCAGGGCAGCAATGGAGGAGCGCAGTGATCCGTCGAGCTGCTGAAGAGATGCTTTTTTACTGTCCTCATCCTGAAAATTTCATCAAATCAAAATGGTTCATTGGTAACTAATGTCTGTCCTAAACAGAAATGTATTGAACATGCTGCTCCATCACATCTAAAACCTTATCTAAAATTAGAGTTTACCGGAGTGAAGAGTTGTTGCTCCTGAGACAGCTCCTGTGAGTTCTTTAGTTCTTTGTGTTGATCCAGATCTTCAGCAATGCCTGTAAGGTAGCTCTCCCAGTCGTCCACCAGGGGGCCCACTTGCTGGAATAGTGCTGGCCGGCCTACCTGCTCTTTGAGAATAATATGTTGTTTAGAATAACAATATGGAGAACGATGTATATAGATCTATACAGAAGCTACTTCATTTTGGAAAGCATTGTATATCCATCTTGAGCACTGATTGGCTGTACAAGTACAATGCAGAAAGGTTTAATGGCTCTACCTTTTTCAAGTGCACTTCTGCGTCTTCGTGGTATATGAGCAGAGCTGTACACATTCTCCACCAACTGAGGAAGAGTCTGAGTGAAGAAGGTCAGATCGACTTTATCTCTGATGTAGTCATCGGCCTTCTGAAGCAAGTCCAGCAGAGTCTGCAGGAAGGAATGCATCTCTGTAGAGAGAAAGACACTGGACTGTGAGGAAGGCAGTAGACAGAGGAAAGGTAAAAATATTTGAAAATATATTAAAATAGAAAACAGTTTTCTACATTTAACTGTATTACATGTTTTTACTTTGGAGTGTTACAAGCTCTTGGTGCATAAAGAAGATGTGTAAAGTTGCAAAGACTAAAGTCTCAAATATTCTTTATAAAAGTTAAGAGTTAACCACTCCTACCTAAAACGGCTCGTTCTAACACGCCCCCACATGTCTACGTCACGATGTGGGAAGATTCTTCCAGAAGAGGACACGACTAGAAATCAGTGGTTAAGTTGTATTTACAACACTGTTCCAGAACAGTTCAACCCAAATATTCAGATGTGTGCTGCGCATTTTATGGAGGACGAGGACTATTTCCTGAACCAGTAGCCTACAATGCGTCTGTGGCACAAAGGCTGTTTCTATAAAGTTGGGCAGTTCCAACTTTGCAAGGACAGTCTGGCGCTTCTGACTCACAGCCTGTAAGTACGTTTTTTATATTTAAAGAATTTGCCACTGACAATTCAAACACAAGTTTTGAGCGGTGTAGAGTAGGCTTGTTGTTTCTCCGATGCAGACATGGATTTATGTTTACGCAGCGCGTAAATATGACAGTATAAGTCATTATAATCAGTAATTATGTCCCCACTGGATGCAACAAATGCCTCATTTGTAATGGGTTTTATTGGTTTTGTCTCGTCCTGCTGGGAGACGGCAGCGAACGAATCGAAGGGGCGTAACATTTCCGTCACACACTTGAGGTATT